CTTTAAGACTTTTACTCAAGTAAATTTTTAAAGGAGACTTTAACTTTTACCAAAGTAATTTCATTATAAGATACTTGTGCTTTCACTCAAGTATCACTTCGAGGTACTTTAAACAATACTGTCAAAGGGTCAGTTGTAAATAAAATTGATGTTTTGTGTTTAAATCAGTCTGAAAACATGATACGTCACATTCCTGAGCGCCCCTAACGAACACTAACTGAGCTCTACCTGGTATGTCCTGCATAGAAACAGCGTTTTAGCACTTTCTCTTAGAAACACTGAAAAGTACTGCATGTAAAATAAAGAATATCATCTTGAATTCTGAACTCTCATAMTTTCTGACGGAATTACCACCGGAGTGGCGTTCCGATTTAAATTTACGACTTGTAAGTGGGGAATTCCCACTTCCCAGTACAACTGGCAAAAGTAGCAATTGAAAATGCAGCAAATTTCACCTTGAACCCTGTGCAGCTCCAGCTAGTGGTGGGAAAAATAATAAACAGGCATTATTTATGGTCAATGCTGGCTTATTTTAAGACATTAATTCGTCTTTGAAGCTCTTTGGGGCCACATAAAATGCYGTGGAGGGCCACATTTGGCCCATGGACCTTGAGTTTGACATGTGATCTACAGTTAAATTCATCACTGGACGTGACAAACTGCACCAACCTGTTTGGCAATGACACGTGTGATGATCCGTTACAATTATAAACTTTAAAAAAAATTCTGGAGAAAAGCCACTTTGATGTAGAAATAAAAATGTTAAAGCTGCTGCCTGTGGCCTTTTAAGAAAAGGAAATAGTGTGAATAAGAGCTTTCACACACTTACAGTCATTGTCTCGTTTTGTAATGTTTATGGTTTTCTTTTAACTATGTGATTTATACAAAGATATTTACTGTGTACACAAAAGTTAGACAAGTTCCAGTCCTCTATTGCCTTAATTATCTGTGATATTGATCTGGTCTCTGACCTCCTGACTGTTCTGAGGTATTGACTGTTGTTTCCCTCTGACTGCACAGCGCCGCCGGAGTCCGATGATTTCGCTTTTTACCTTGAGGACCACAAGTTGTGCCTCGGGGTGCTGGGCAGCTCCATGAGCCTGTCGCCCTCCTGCGAGGAGCCCGACCAGCGCTGGAAGTGGGTGAGCCGGAGCCGCCTGTTCAACCTGGGCACGTCGCAGTGCCTGGGCCTGAGCACCGCCAACGCCACCTTCAGCCTCGACGACAATCCGCTGGCCGCATACACGTGTGACCGGGAGCCCCCCCGGGTGCAGTGGACCTGGAACTGTGCCGACGTCCTGGACAAACTCAGCAGTTTGATTCAGTCGCCGTCGCTCCAGAACTCGTCCTCCGCCTCGCCATCCTCCCCACTGAAGTGGAGACTATACGGTGAAGATCAGGACCTGTGCTCCAAAACATATCAAGGTGGGCCTGAATTCACACAACAAACGAGACATGCCCCGTTTTTAAATCCTTCTGTTTCACATTTATCCTTCAGATTGGGTCTACAGCGGGTAAAATAAGTATTGAACACGTCACCATTTTTCTCAGTAAATATATTACTAGAGGTGCTAATGACATGAAATTTTCACCAGATGTCGGTAACAACCCAAGTGATTGACACAAAGAAATCAAACCATAAATGTCCAGAAATGAAGTTATTTGTAATAATGTGGAATGGCACAGGGAAAAAGTATTGAACACATGAAGAAAGGGAGGTGTAAAAATGCATAGAAAGCCAAGACACCAGCTGAACTC